GGATATGGTCCCCGATAAGCTTGAACAGTTCGCCGAACACCTTGATTTCTTCTTACTATTCTTATTGGTTTGTGTTTGTTTGTTTCTGTTCACAAATGGCAACAATGAAAGAAAAATACGAAGTGAGCGAATTACGAACAATGCGCCGGACGCTAAAAAAAAAAAAAAACAACGAAACAGAAGGTCTCACTACTTTCGACTTTTCTGCAAAGTTTGACCATCAAATGAAAATAAAATGCAACACCTGAAAATTAAAAGAAATTGTCATGAATTGATATCCACCATAAGGTAGACACAATACCTCAAACTTTGGTTGCTCACTTTCATATAAACAACTTTAAAGCACTTCCAGTAAAAAAAGTGTCCTAATGTGATTGTCTCAAGTTGTTCAAAGGCATGCTTGCCGACCGATCTTTCAGGACTCACCGTATAATATGGCGCCATCTTGCCTTTGTCGCAACACTTGATAACCACCAGAATCAAGATGGCAGCAATCAGAGCTCCGATTAACAAACCGAGGAAGACACCAAGAGCGAAATAACCAAACACCTTACGACGCTAGAAAATAATAAGAGATTTTTAATATATTACGTGGTTAACGAGTAAAAACATAATTCGGAGATCTGCAACTAACTCTCCAGTAAAATAAAGCATCGCGCGACGTCCACTCGGCTCACGATTCTCCCGCTTAGCTTACGCTTCTCTCGTTTTGCTCAGGCTTCTCTCACTTGCAAAACGAAAAAGAATGCTACGTATACTGCATTGTTACCTCAGGTTCATCCACGTTAGCTCTTTGGAGACAAGATGTGCTGGCATCGCTTGACAATCTGTAAGTCAGGCTGTTTAGCTGAACAAGAAATAAAAAGAGCTCATTTAGGAACGTTACATATCCTCTAAAACTCCACTTTTCTGCTTCACTTCCAGACTGTATAGGACATAACAGTTCTTGTTCAATATCACACTGTTCAGGTGCCCTCACCTGTACACTCTTCCATGTCTCTACAGCGGGGATACGTAGTGTGGTCGGCTCCTAATGGAAGCAAATCAAAATACACGAGTAAAATGACTGAACCAAGACAACTGACTGAGTTTAAAGTGGGTGACCACCAACCTTCTCGTCCACCTTAAATTGAGCCACATAAATGAAGGATCTTGTCTCACCAACTATAAAATAGAAAAACCAAATTCAGATTCATGTCTTTGCAATACTGGATCTCTAATATCAAGGCGGATTGTGGACCTCGTTTGCTTGCGCTATAAAAATTAAAATTCTCTGTGTACAAGAAATTTTGTCCGTGCAGCAACATCCTTGACTTGATCCAGGAGGATTGCAGAGCAAAATTTGTGATCCAATCTTTCTGGATAAAGCTTAGAAATTTCTCTTTAATAAGTTTTCCTCATCTCTGTTGTCCTGAAATGAAATAGCTGAATTAGGAAGTATAGGCGTTATTTACTTTTATATTCATATTCAAACGGCGGTACTTTCAAAGGATCATTTCCAGCCTTGAGAAAACCATTAACTGCACACACGTAAAATTACGATGATATAATGCGCGTATTTGATATCGCCAATCAGCCCCTTACACTTCACTCGCCTTTCGCGCCGCACGGTCAGGTTGATGAATAAATAGCAAAACGTTGAAGGTCGTTTTTCAGGCCTATAATGTTTATAACGTAGCCAAAATAATACATGGTTGTTTGTATACATGGAATTTCTCTTCGAGCGATCCATTTTACTAACCATAGGTCTCCAGTACTACGTTGTTTTCGCAGATTTTTTATACTTGTTCTCGATCAATCAACAAGTCAAACGAAGGCTTTGCAATAAAAGAAAACAGGTAACAAAAAAAATTATGTAACTTGAAGCGAATGAGATGGACATGAACACCCTTTAAAGCCCCTACAGATCAGCTTTGTACCCAATCAATATGTCTATTAATCATACAACCACTCAATCACATGTTTTACAGTAAAAAAAAAAACAAACAAAAAACAAGATTTGGTTACGAACGGGGATGAATAAAAATGCTATTTCGAACTCTTGAAAGATGAAGTTATCCTAAACTCACCACGCAGACTTCGAAGGGTAAAACGAATTTCAAAGGTATTCTTTCTTGGAAACGTAACAAAGGCCCCTTGAGTCGACAAGTCAGAATCATAAAAATCCATTCCTTGCGTAAAATCCTCAACAGTTAGGTTGCTCGCATCATAAATAGAGGCGTTGGTGTGACCGATGGTTATGTTAAATAACAGAAGAGGAGAGTCCATGTTCGTCTCTACTATCTGGAAAATATATTAAAAAAAGGCACTTGATCATCTAGCAATGAGGCACGAAGTGTTTTGGTTTTGTTATTACCACACTAAATCAAAAAACGCCAAAGATATCATACCTCCACAGTTTTAACAATGGACAGAAGCGGCTTCACCAATGGCCCAATGATAACAAACTGTTTCACACCACTATCTGACCCAGCATCGAAGTTTAACTTAACTGCCAAGTACAGGCGCCGCCCACTGAGGATCAGTGGTCTGTTTGCGGTGTTAAACTTGAGAAAGATCTCAACTGTATCGTTGGATCCTGAGCCGGGAAGATTCTGTACAGTACCGAAGGCTATAGTCAGAGTCGTAGGGTTCAGAAGTGTAATGGCCGGGATCAGAGATAAAGTTAGACCATCTCCATACTTCACAAAACTGTCACTTAGAACAGGAGATAGGGTGTTCACCACACCTGAAGAGCGCTTGCGCCGAGAGCTGTTCAAAATAAACAAACACTGAAGGTTAAAACTTTCCACAAATTTGGAAACAGTGAAACCAAAATAAAACTGCGACTGTTCCAATATAACAAAAATGACTCTAAAACCCGGGTGATGAAATCTAATGAAATCTGTCAAAAGTTCGTCAGCTATTACGGAAATCGCTTTTGCAAACGAACTGGTTATAACGGCTGAAAACCAAGAAAACGACTCTCTAAGAATAGCGACACGCAACACGCAATAATCGTTTGCGTCATAATGTTCACAAACTCGCAGTTTAAAAATGTTTTGCGCGCGCACCGTCAGTACTGTACTGCGCATCCTTTACTGCGCATGACATCATGCAATTAGGCGTAAATGCCCAAACGCATTCCGGAGAAATTGTAATTTTTCTTTATCAATTAGTGGACGGTGACCTACGTTTTTTATAGCACAATCTTGGTGCACAAATTATCCCCTTTAAATTAGTAAAATTACAACAAGAGATTGATCGAAAGGAAAAGAGGAATAACTAATAATAATAATAGTAATAATAACGGTTTATTCACAGTATATCCACATAAAAAGTGTGGCTCTTCATCTGTGAAGGCCTACGATACTAATATTTAATATTAAAACTAATTTATAACGACTAACTAAATTGTAATAAAAACTATACATGGAAGTAAATATGCAGAATATATTGGTTGGTGGTGGTGGTTGTTTCTATATCTTTACAAGGAAGACAAAGTGCGCGCCTTCAAGAACTCCTTGCAGAGCCTGCAGTACTCTTTAAAATCTGTGCAATTCCTTAAATTTGCTGGCAACTCGTTAAAAATCATGGCTGCTGAAAGCTGAAAGGTGCCTTGTACAAATGGAACATAAAGCCTTGGAGCAACTCTGGAACGAAGATGCCTGATGGGTTTAACGACTTGCAAATTTAAATGGGAGGGCCAGTTATCAGAATACAGTGCTTTAAAAATAGTCTTTAGTAGCGAGTAGTCCCTCAGCTCCAGGATAGGAGCTAAAAGCGAGCAAGAAGCCGGTTACTCGTGGATGCAAAATTTAGTTAAGACCAAGACCAGAGGAAAGTTTTGATTCGATGACGTAAGAAATTGCGTGATTCTGACATCAATTATATTCATCACAACAAACCTTTAGGGAATTTATCAAAATTTAGTTAGAGGTCATATCATAAAATTCTGATTGACTGAGTTAGGTCGGGCTAGATGCGGGAAAATATTTGGTTACCCTGCGCTCTGATAGGAGAAACAAATTTTCCCGAACAATAACAACAGAAAAAGAGACAAAAAAAGATCACCGCCAACCTTAAGTTATCCTCTTCACTTCCGATTCCAATTCCTTGTAAACTCCTCCTTTTACGAGGCAGATCTATGACACTCTCCGGGACTGTAGGTAAATCAACCACTACACTCAAGTTGGTCTCACACTCAGGGAGTTGTAAGCGAAGGGTGAAATTAACTGGATCTCCAGCCTGTAACTTATCTGCGTTCTGACTGGACAGTATCGAGGTATCAATGGGCTTGGTAGTAATGTTAGCATGTTTCTCTTCATTATAACTCGCAGCATTCTGTGGGTTGTTCCCTACGTCTGTATTGTAGTACTTCACTGTGACCATCTGGGAGATCAACTGCTTTGGGCTGATGCGAGCTTGAAGGCGAGATTCGTACTTGCAGCGAATGCTTTCTGAGGGCGCCAGAGGTGTAACGAAGACTCTTGATTGTTTTGTGGTAGCGTTGAATGAAGGCGAACCTCTACTGCAAGATGTGTTGAAGTTGTTGGTGTCGACAGTCTCAAAGGTTACGACTACAGACAACGAGTACGCTGTTATCGTTGAGTCAATGTTGTTTAGGATCAGTTCATAGTCTACTTTGTCACCGGCATCAAACGAGCCATTGGCGGGAGCATGGAAGCTGACTGTTACGTACGGGAGAGGGCGGAAAGTACTGAATGTAGCCTGCAAAATCAAACAGAAACAAGTCATACAATTTATTTAAAATATCTTGGAAGGAACAAAAGCAGTAAGTTTTTGGTTTTTTATTGTAAGTGCCCGGAAGTGTCTTAGCCTTAAAATATCGGTTTTTTTTTTATCGGTTTTATCGGTTTTTTCGTATATGGTTTTTCTCTTGTTTTGTTTTGTTTGTTTTTTCGCACACGTAAAACTGCACTTATCACACCCAATTCTACTAAGTCAACAAATGCCAGTTTTCGTCAAATTGGCGAAGATAAGACTGTCAAAATCAATAGGCCTTCGGCTTCATCTGATAACACGACTGCTGGACTTGATAATTATCGCTACATGGCGTAACATCATCTAACAACCGTTAATTAATAATTAACTACTTCACTTTGAAGACAGTTTTTTATTACCTGATCAGAGTTATGTTCAAACTTCCTCCCTTCGCGAGGTGACAAACTAGGCGGCAGAGTTGCAAAGGAGAGGTAGACTGGGGAGGAGATCAATATGCTGGGCTGAAGGTCTGCTACAGTTGTAGCCTCGTAGTGAAACGAGACGCTCTTACCGCCAAGGAGCAGGCCATTGGTGACTTCATAAAGAATCACTTTTGTGTTTGAATTATTATACCTGAAATATATAGTTACATTTATTCTATAACAGGCTCACAGACACAAATATTTCTGACTAGATGTGCATGTACCGCAAAAAACAATTTGTGCATTTGTCAGTTACTGTGAAGAACGACACTCAAAAAAACTGTCTGTCAACAAATGGTTGATCAACCATTGGCCAGCTGTCAGCCAACTGTTGGCAATAGTCAACGGATAGTTGGCCATTGGTCAGTTAACTGCGGGTCAAATGTCTGCAGCCAACTATTGGACAACAGATAATATG